ACTTTTGTGCATTCTGTTGATTTCACTATTAAAAACAGCCCCCAGGGCTTCCCTGGCGGCACAGTGGTTGGGAGTCCGCCTGCCGATGCAGGGGACACGGGTTCGTGCCCCGGTCCGGGAGGATCCCACATGCCGCAGAGCAGCTAGGCCCGTGAGCCATGGCCGCTGAGCCTGCGCGTCCGGAGCCTGTGCTCCGCAACGGGAAAGGCCACAACAGTGAGAGGCCCGCGTACCGCCAAAAAAAAAAAAAAAAAAAAAAAAGGCCCCCAGGTGTCAGTGCCGAGGTGCTGTCCAGTGCTCCCAAGCACAAGAAGGCTGCGCCTTATGGAGAAAACGCGTGTCTGATAAGCTTCACTTAGGCGCGAGTTACAGCATTGTCAGCCTAAGCTCAACAGTAATGAATCAGCAACGATGTTAAATAAAGCGTCACTGGACAGAGATACACATATAACAAGGTCAAGTATCGACCCGCTGATGACAGGGCTGGGACTAGAGACCCGCAGGAACCCAGCCCTGTATTTCCCCTGGGAGTGGGGCTCAGGGTCTGCCCGTTCAGTGCTCACAGTGACTTTATAGGACAGAACTGCTGTGCAAAACGAGAATCTCCCCTCAAGGCCTGACTCCTATTCCAGCTGCCTTCCTGACCTCACAGACGTTATCAAATCCAAACCTGAACCCCTGGTGATACTTCTGCAACGTTCTCTCCCCACATCTTAATTAAAGGCAACTGCACCCTTCCAAGGACTCAGGCCAAAACCCTTGGAATTACCCTTGACGTCTCTTTCAAACCCTACTTCTGGGTTTTCAGAAAATCTTGATGACGTCACCTGCACATCATATTCGGAATCCCACAGCGTCTCATTACTTCCACTCTGCCAACCTGACCCAGCCCCGACCATTTGTCACCTGGACGACTCCAGAGCCTTCTAACTGGTCTCCTTCTTTCCACCCTGGCCCTGTCCCCCCTGCCACCTCTCCTTATCCCAGCTTGTCCCCCACAGGGATCTTGGTGAAATTTGGATCATGTCACCCGTTACCTCAGATCCCTCCAGCGGCTTCCAGCTACCCATGGTCGTGACAGCGACTTCTAAGTCCTGGTCTGCACATGCCCTGCCCTCTGCTTCTCAGACTTCCTCCTTTCTCACCCTGCTCCTGTTGCTCCTCCCACACTCCTGCCCCAGGGCCTTTGAACCATCCTTGGAAAGCTCTTCCTCCCAATAACGGCATGGCTGGCTCCTTCACTGCAATCATATCTTTACCCCACTGTCACCTTCTTACTGAGGGCTGCCTTGATCAGTGTAGTTAAAATGACAACCCCCTACACACACATACACAGACACAGACACACACACACACACAGACACACACACACTTCCTATTGTCTTTCCTGCTTTATTTTTCTGCATAGCACTCATGTCCATCTAAGATACTAATTAATATATTTAGCTGTCTGCTTATAGCCTGTTTCCCTCTCACTCAGATGTAAGTACCACGAGGTTGAGGATTTCTACCTGTTGTTTTTTCTTTCTACTGATGCATCTCCAGTGCCTAGCACAGAAGGTAGGCACTAAATAAATAATTCTTGAATGAGGCATAATGTAGCACTTACCATACATTATTCAATTTACCTGTTAGCCCTCTCTCACACAAGACTGTGAACATTCTGAGGTCAGAGACTCTATCTAATTTGTATTTGTATTCCTAACACCAAACTCCTGTGCATGACACATAACAGGAATTCAATAAACACATGCTGAATGAAGAGAAGGGGAGCAGAGAAATAAAAAATCTCTCATGTTTACGAAGCTTAGGTTTTTATTGAATTCAACAAGCATCTGTGCAAAGATGAGTAAGCCAGAGCCCCTGCTCTAGTGGAGAGGGGGAGAGACACGGATAAATATGGAAGCTGATGCAATGTGGTAAGAAAAGGAAAAGAACCAGGATGACAAAGGAGAGGATGGATGTTGGGAAAGTAGTCAAAAGAGGGTCGTGTAGGGCTTCCCTGGTGGTGCAGTGCTTAAGAATCTGCCTGCCAATGCAGGGGACATGGGTTCGAGCCCTGGTCCGGGAAGATCCCACATGCCATGGAGCAACTAAGCCCGTGCGCCACAACTACCGAGCCTGCGCTCTAGAGCTAACGAGCCACAACTATTGAGCCTGCGTGCCACAACTACTGAGCCCACGTGCCACAACTACTGAAGCCCGCATGCCTAGAGCCCATGCTCTGCGACAAGAGAAGCCACGACAATGAGAAGCCCGCGCCCCACAATGAAGAGTAGCCCCCGCTTGCCGTAACTAGAGAAAGCCCGCGCACAGCAACGAAGACCCAACACAGCCAAAAATAAAAACAAATAAATAAACTTAAAAAAAAAACAAAAAGAGGGTCATGTAAGCTCTGGGCTTTGATGGCCGAATAGGAGCTTGCCATGCAGACTGTTGGGGAGAAACAGCCTAAGCTCAGCTGCTCACTGCCCAAGGCATGTCTACATAGACACAAGCTCCCCAGTGTCGCCCCTTTCTTACTCTAAAAGGTCCCCCAAGAATTTGGTGCTCAATAAATGTGAACAAACAGAATTGCTATATTCCCATAGTCCTCCTTTTCCCCCCTTCACTCCAAGAAAACTCTGTATCTGACAACAAAATTACCCGATGGCTCCACTTGCCACCATTTAGGGTAAAAAAGCAAAGGCCACATCCAAACACCAGTCCCGGTTCCCAGACTCATCAGGGACTGACATCTAAACACAACCAGACCACTAGGATGGCAGCCACTTAGAAACCCAGAGAAGCTGCCATTCCACAAGCTCTGTCAAAATGTAAAAAAGCGAAAATCAATTCAGAAAGTGCTAGAGCTTTCCAACGTCAGAGCCAAATATGAGAAGAGTACGATGCATATGTAAATATGCACATTCTTTGTCAGAGCCCACGTCCTGAAGCAGGAGCTGGGCGGCTACAGCATCCTCAGCTTCCTCGCCCGGCGTGGCCTGGGTAGCAGCCCCTGCGGAGCAGAGCAAAGCTATTCCAGCCAGGAGACTGGACCCCATGACCTCACAGGCCTGTCCATTTTCTGATGCCTATGACTCACCATGGTTGGAACCGGCTGTTTTCCTCCCTGTCTTTTAAGAGAAATGAGAATAAGCTTGTCTCATTCATTTTTATTTGCCGCTTGCCTGGTGGCTTGGACTGAACTGGAGAAATTCCACACACACACACACACCGCTCACGCTCACATTTCCACCCACGGCCCCCACCTCAGGGCACACACGTGTCTACACGTGCATCTCACACCACAGCTGCTGATCCAAATCCTCCTGATGGAGTCCAAGCTCTTCCTGAAACCATGACTTTTCTCTCCTAGAACGGGGACTGCTCACCCTGCCATGCATCTCCATCAGATGTGCTGGCTTCGCAAACACGATCAGAACCATCTCCCCTTCTGTATCTAGTGCATACACACAACCCAGGGACAAAATTCCTGGGTACTGTGACAGTCAAGAGCTAACAGGTACTGACCACATCTTTTCCTCCCCTCCCACATTTATACCATCTTGATCTCCTCCTAAATCTGTGGCTTCCTTCCCTTCCCCTCATTTTAGTCTCTATTCCCCTCAAGTCTGTTCTTTTCTCCTGAGTTCCTTTAAAAGTGCAACAGCTGTGACATTAACGGTGATGACTTAACGCCCATTATCATGCAAGCACTTGGAGGGCCCTGAAGTGCCTCCGAGGTCTTTCGAAGTTTCTGACCATGCTCTGGGCCCCAGACCCGTTTAGCATGAGGCCTGCTTCCCTCGGCCTGCCTGGGAAGGTCACGTGGTTGTATCCCCAAACAAACAGGAATAACATTGGTCATATAACATCACCTCCTCTCCTTCAGGGCAGGCTTACTGTTCTCATTAAGAAAAGCCATCATGGTCTGTATGATGAGAATTCAGCCTTGGTCTCCATCTTCTCAAAGCCTCTTCCAGTCTCAGTTCGTCCTGCTCTTAGACCTTCCTAGCTTGTACTCACTCCCTCCCCAGCACAAGCTGGTGCCTCTACCTGGAACTCTGTCCCCTGACTTTCCCATGGTTGGGGCTGCTTCGCGTCATGAAGGCTAATGCCTGAGTCTCCTCCTGTCCCCTTAACTGTCCCAACCCCTCTTCACACCTGTCATTCTATCATACACTCCCGTTTTGTCTTCTTCACAGCATGTAACAGCATGTAAGATCTGAAATGCCCCTGTTCACCTGTTTCTTTTCTGCCTGTCTCTCCCAACTAAAAGTTCAGCTCCACGAGGGCAGGTGTTCCGTCTCATTCACTGTCTTCACCCCAGTGCCTAGAACAGCATCTGGTACATAGCAGGCACTTGCTGGATGAATGAATACAGTCATGTAAATGGAAGCCTCGATAACTTCGTACACAGTTCTGATGGCCTTTCTCTGGGCCCCCAGAAGATGGAAGTTGAGTCTCAGTATGTGTTCAGATCTGCCATAGCATTTTCTGCATTCTGAGTGTCAGGGACAAAGGATCTCTGGGGTTCTGATTTTAGAAAAAACTTTAATTCTTGGCTTCTCCAGGACAAATCAGGGTTGGCTAATTAAAGAGAGTGACTTGGTCAAGGTCTGAACCAGATTCCTTCTATCAATATTTTCTTTCTACGTGTTTCTATCTCCACATTTTGTTTTATGTGTGTTTGCACCTTATTGTCATCCCACATGTCACTGTAAATCATTTAAAAACATAGATACACATGACATATTTCTGGTCTTAGAACCTGGGAATTCACCCAAATCAATTCCTGGCCTCCACACAGGCCCACACCCAAATCAAACGGGATTTCCACCCAACGATTAAAAGGTTTCAGGGGAAATTCACTTCCCTTCAAACTCATTCCAGTGTCTCTCAATCTTTTATTCCTCCCTCAAGGGAAACGAAGGCAGCTGTGATCACGTGCCAGGCTCAAATGCTTAAGACAAGCGATCAGGTTGACAAGTGGGAAAACACACACGCGCAGTCCTTACCAACATAGCCTGGGGTCCCACAGGCTGTGGACATCACGTCTCCTTTGCCCTCCATTTTGGACAATCCAAAGTCACTGATCATGATTTTGGACTCTTCATCCTGACTGTAGTACAATAGGTTCTCAGGCTAAAAAGAAATGTAAAAAAAAAATCTGTTTTAAAAGCTGGGTTTCTTGTGGGAGCCTCACCAAACCACCAAAACTTAATGACAATGGAAGAACAGACTTGACCTTTAGACACAGTAAATGCCTTAAGAAAAGCAGTGTTTAGTGAAAACAATGCAGGGTGCCTTATATAGTATTGGGCATTTATGGATTTTCAATAAATGTGAGCCCCTTTCCCTTATTAGTATTTTCTCTACTTAAGAACAATGAACCATATATTGAGGCAACTAGAAAGCAGATGCCTCTCAGACTTGTCAATTCATTTCTTGGGTTAGGGGCACAGAGATTCCCAGAAAGAAAACTGTCTTTGCAGGTGCTATTCGGTTTCTTTTTTCTGACCCTTGTCAGCAACCTGTCTCCAACCTAAGGGTCTCTCTCCCCGCCCTAAGGGACGTCCTGTGTCCATAGCTCGGGCACATGAACTGCACTTCCCCCTATCCTGGGCCAGCTGATATCCGAGCACTCCGCTCCCTGGGAAACAGGGGGAGGTCATCACGGAATGAATCGGAGGCGGAAGATCTAGAGCTTTCTAGCCATGCGTCCTTAAAAGCTCTGTTTCTGTAGAAGACGGGTCAAGATGGTTCCTCGTTTGCTTCCCTGACTGTAAAATGTCAGAGCTCAGGCAGCAGTAATGCACGACATGCAGCAAAGGTCCGATTACAGCTCCCGTTTCCACTCTAAGTCTGTACATCAGTGGCACCCCCGTGGTGTCTACATGGGAGGGGCTTACGGATGGCAATCCTGGGGTAAACCAGGAGACAGCAAAGTTTCATTTGTATGACATCTTGTGGAAAATTGGGGAATCTGGTTGTTTCTGGCAAAAAATGGGGGCGGGGCTTATGGAGACGGAGGGAGATGTTGAGCAAGCATCCCCCCACCCTTGCAGTAATTTTCCATCCATGACCCCTCACTCTGCTCAACGGCTATACATCCCCATGTGTCCTTGCCACATGTGCAGTGGAGCCCAATTCTCTCCCCTAACGCAATGCCCCTCTTGCAGGAGTCTTGAATAAAGCCTTCCTTACCATTTTAACATGTGTCAGGACCATTTTTTTCTTTAACTGAACCCCAAGGAAAAAAATACTACCCCTCACTCAAAATAACATGACACATCATTCACAGTGACTTTAATCCTGTGGATGAAGCATAAAATTAGAAGAAAATCAAATGCATGCTTGAGGATGCTTTCAATTCCTTTTAAACTAGAATAAAATGAGCCAATCAATAGTAGAAACAACAACACTTAGAAAGCAGAGGAAATAATCTAACCAAACAGTGCACGTGGTTCATGGTTTCTCTGAATGTTTAGGGATTCGCCTTTGATGAACAGTAAGAATCCAATCATGGGTGCAAAGAGAATATTTTTTTAAAGTTTCTGATTTTATGACTTCCTGTCCCAGTACTTCTACAGCTGTAAAGTCAAGGATCTCATGCTCCTAGGCAAGGCTGCATCCAGGCGGGAGACAGCCTAAGAGCCCAGAATCTCTCCTGATACCTTCCTCCTACAGGAGATGCATTTGGATCAGTAAACTGCTCTTCTGAAGGGCAATCACCAAGGAGGGTTCAGTGGACTGGTCATTCTCAGCTTAGGTCAATGCTTTTACTCACCTCAAGGCTTAGTAAGCACAGCAGGGCTTTACTTGCGGGGAGGGGTGAACAGGGAAAAAGTGGGAGGGAACATGGGCTCAGGGATGATGTGGGTGGAGGCCCCCACTAGGAGGGCTGTGAGGGGTGGAGGGACAGGAGGAGGGAGGGGATCTTACAACGCTTCCTGGGATCCTATGAGGCCCAGGACTCACTGAAAAATTATTTTTCTGTATTTTACGGCATCTTTGCAAGACAATTTGTGGCCAATACTCGACTTGGGATGTCAATTCCAACGCTTGTTCACATAACAAGCTTCTAAAAGATCTGAATCAACACTTCCTGTAAAGTTCATGTTACCTATAGTCATACTCCTGATCCAGTATTCTCAACTGGGGACAATTTCGCCCCCCAGGAGACATTTGGCAATGCCTAGAGACATTTTTTGGTGGTCATAACTTCAGGACTGGTACAGGTATCTAGTGGGTAGAGACCAGGGACGCTACTAAACATACACAGGGCAGCCTCGCACAGCAAAGAATGATCCAGCTCCAAAGGGCAACAGTGCCTAACAGGAGGAGGCAACAGTGGACATTTCGCTTGTTTTGAAAAAAAGACAACTGATCATCGTTAGCAGCTTCTGGGGCAAGAAGACACAAGAATACCTTTCTGAAGGGAGAAAGAGGTATAGCCACCTGTGGGGGTAGGGTAGCATCTCAAATTGTGCTCTAATCTTACATTAACCCAATCGTGTTCTCTATTGCTCTGGCCTCTATCACAGAGTTTAATTTTCTTAGAGGTTTACGAAAATTTAATTCCTGAACCCCAACTTCCTCCACATAGATCAAACTTCTTTGTGCCTCTGAAAAGAGACCACAAAAAGGTCCTAAAATGGTAACATTCTATCCACAATTACAAGCCTGGTGATCTTAAAGTTCTACAGGCTGGGAGCTGCATGTACTTCTCCAAAAGCGTTACCTGTGTGTAAAAAACATGATCTCCCATAAAGCCAATCCATCCGTGACCCCTCACTCTGCTCAACGGCTATACCTCCCCATGTGTCCTTGCCACATGTGCAGTGGAGCCCAATTCTCTCCCCTAATGCAATGTCCCTCTTGCAGGAGTCTTGAATAAAGCCTGCCTTACCATTTTCTAAGGGGGAAATAAACACTGACCACCTAGGAAATGGCTTACCTGCTTAGAAATGATTTCTAGTAAGTACACCACATCACATCTCTACGGTCACTAAACTAACTTGTTCAGGAAGAGCTAGCTGCCTGCTGTGGCCTGGAAGCACAGAACCGGCATTTGGTGAGGGCACAAGAGAGCAGAGAAGGCACGGCTGCCTGGTACAGAGGCACCAGGTCACCTTACCTAGCCCTGACCTGGCCCTCTGAAGAACCTGCAAGTCCTGAAGATGAACTACTTGTGCTCACAGCCCATTTCACCCATCAGGAGGCTAGCAAAGGCTGTAAGAAGTCCATCAACGTCCTCAAATACCCTCGTCCAGCAGTTCTCCAAGTGTGGTTCCCAGGCCAACATCAACATCATCTGTAAACCCCTTAGAAATGCAAGTTCCCGGGCCCTGATGCAGACCTGCAGGATCAGAACCTCTGGGGTAGAGCCAGCAATCTGTTTTTACAAGCCATCCAGACAATTCTGATGTAGGCTAACATTTGGGAGCCACTACCCTAGTCAATGGAAAGTGATTAACATGGAGAAAAGCAAAAACTTCACAGTGAATTCCTATGAAAGGAAAAGCCACACCATTTTATACCTTGACAGCCAGTACCAGATAACGGCCAGATGTTAACATTCTGTTTTAACACACGTTTACCATTTATTCCCTAAATTGATTTAGATTGCCCGTAGTTGTGTATAGCATGGCTTCAGTACAATATAATCCCTGTGTTTCTGATAGGAGTGGTGAGTATGTGTGCTGGGGTGAGATGTCTATCTTGACTGGTGCCGTGAGTTCTAGGGGCTGGACCTATAACTGCTGTAGAATGAAGCCACTTTATAGCCTCGGGTCAACAGCGCAGATTTTTTTCTGTTCCTCAAATTGATATGTTCGATGCCTACCCTTGGTACTATGATACCTACCCTTCGGCATCCACAGAGGCCCCTGGGCCAAGGTAACCAAGGCCCAGATCCTTCAATGCTATTGGTGAAGGGTGAGTATTTCAAAACCTCATAGGGAAAAGATAAGAATGGAACCGACAGGACATTGGGAGAAGGCTGTAACTGTATGTCATTTAACCCATCTTTCTGGATAACCTTTTATTTCCTTTCTCCCTCGCCTCACACCCTCTATCTACTGCTCCCTTTCTTTCATATGGTGGGTTGCACTGAAACAGGGCTGGAATTGGGAAAAGACTGGAGAACTGCACTGGGCAATCTTCATGGCATCCATGTCTTGAACAAAATTACCCTTTAGATAAGTTTGAAGCAATACACAACCTACCTCCCCATGGCCCTTTCGCTGTACAGTGGTTATTAAATGTCCCAAACAATGGCCAGCCCCGTTGATCTTCATCATCTTTCAAGCTACCTCTGGGTCCCAAAGACCCTGACGACTAACAGTACACAAAGCCCACCGTATCTACATCAAGGCAACCTCATCCCTCCTCTGGAGCCAATCTGCTCCGACAGGTGCATTGTGGGTTGGAAAGCAACTGGAGGGTGTTGCTAAGCGACAGCCTCACCTTGAGGTCCCTGTGGACAATGCCCATTCTATGGAGATAGTAGACAGCATCCAAGACCTGGCGGATCAGAGTGCTGGCATCTTTCTCTGTGTAAAATCCCTTCTCCACTATCCGGTCAAACAGCTCTCCACCAGATACACTGTTAAAAAAAAAAAAGAGAGAGAGAACAAATCAGTATAAGTTAAAAAAGACGTGTTAAATTTTTCAGTGAAAACTACCAATAAGACCTTTCAATATGGTGAAAGACCCAGACTTTATTTCAAAAATTAATCCAGGGCTTCCCTGGTGGCACAGTGGTTGAGAGTCCACCTGCCGATGCAGGGGACGCGGGTTCGTGCCCCGGTCCGGGAAGATCCCACGTGCCGCGGAGCGGCTGGGCCCGTGAGCCATGGCCGCTGAGCCTGAGCGTCCGGAGCCTGTGCTCCACAACGGGAGAGGCCACAACAGTGAGAGGCCCGCGTACCGCGCAAAAAAAAAAAAAAAAAATCAATTTTCAGATTTAAATGTTGCCCCCTTATTCCCCAGAAGCTATATCAGGGCAGTGTTTCTATGTCATGATGGTACAGATGGTCCAGGACGAAATAAAGTAAATAAAAATCAACCAGGATCCATGGACTGGCCAGGCCTGAGAAGTTTCTCTTGGCCTTTGCCTCCATCCTGCTGGGACAGCATTAACTCAGGATAACCTTCCAGAATATCAGCATCATCAGTTATAGGGTGATGACACTGGATAAGATGCCTCCTTTGCATGCGAGTATAGCCTTAAAGGTTTGGGCGGTGGGAGGGGTGCTGTGGGCAAAGCAGGAAGCAGCCAACAGGACGTCCGGGTTCTTGACCCAGTTCTGCTCCTAAGATGCTGAGAGGATGGGCACTCCTGGAATCTTTGCACCTCATTCTTTTTATCTGTAAAATGAGGTAGTTAATCTAGTCAACCACTCCCTGAGAGGCATCAGAGCCTTAAAGCCACTTGTGATTTACAAAAAGAGATAGAAGAACGACACTCCATTACATTGTTTTACTTTGGTTTTTGTTGAGAATATTTCATTTCAATTTCTTTGAATTTCAGATTGCATTACCATTTTTGTTTTTTGTATTTATCAAAAGGGGACCTAGGTCGCTAAAGGTTAAAAAGCCTTGGTGGACAGAGACCCTTTCAGCTCTGAGATTTGATGTTGCTCTGAGTTGAACAAAGTAACAGAACTGTTAAATTCTGAATAGAAACAATTCAACTGATACCTTTGCCTTCAAATTCTTGGAGTACAGGCTTCTCTAAGAAAAACGATGCTTTGTGCAAATAATTAAGCCATCCCTTGAAATTAGCTTCAAGGGATATATCAGCACTATTTTAATAAAGGAGAAAAAAATTTTCCAAAAACAAAATGAAAAAGGTGTATGTGAAATATTAAGATCATAAAAGTTTCACAAACAACTTTTACATCTTTAAAAGACAGGCCCCAGGAGTGACACACACACATACACTAACACACAAAGCTATGATTCATTTTCTTCAAGTCAACGCAATTAATGTTGAGTAACTGAGCCACTGAAATGTTCTTTTCAAAAAAACTAATAAAACACAATTGCAGCTATAAAAGTCCTATGTATTAGAGTCTTTCCCATTACATATAATCATTCCAAGCCATACTGCGCTTGCATAATGTCTCATTTCCAAAGCAAACTGAGCAATCTAGATAAAAGAAGAAGGACGCTCAGGAGAAATAAAAAGCAATTCAAAGAGTGAAAAGAAATACAAACAGGGGAGCAACTACATCCTGATGGCCATGTTGTCTACATTAACCATCCTTAGGTAAGCCCAGATCCCAAGACATTCCCTCTCAGCAACTCACATCGAGTTCTCGCCACTCTTCATTTTTCTGGAACCTTCTTCCAATGATTTCAATGGAAGAACTTTGCAGAGCTTGAGGATGTATTACAGGAGATGCACAGTTGCCAGGGGTAGGGAGAACCTGTGTGCATTCACTTGGAGGCATTCACTTCACTGAATCATTTATTCAGTCATTCATTCCATGTGTACTGGGCACCCATTAGGCGCCAGCCACCCTGTGCAGCTGGTGCCAATCAAGGCGGCATTAGCTGCGCCGGAGGAAAACCCTGTCTTGATTGTGCCCCTCCTTATCCCCTACATCAGCCCACCTTCAATAATGACACCACTTACTAGTGTTCCAGTGCTTTCTTACCGCTGGGCTGCCTGCAACTCATATCCTCTGCAAGGTGCTGGAAGCCCTCGAGCAACAATGCTCACCCCTGGGACTTCCCTGGTGGTCTAACAGTTACGACTCCGCATTCCCAATGCAGGAGCAATCCCTGGTCAGGGAACTAGATCCTGCATACCACAACTAAGACCCAGCACAGCCAAATAAATAAATAAATAAATAAATAAATAAATAAATAAATAAAACTCACCCCTTCCTTCACCTCCCACCCTTAGCACTCTGTGACCTGCACTTTGCCAGATCCCTTCCCTCCCTCAAAACTGATCTTTCCTGCTTCCCATTCTCTCAAAGTCCACCTCTCTGCAATGTGATATAAGGTATTAATAGCCATTGAATAATATTTTCACTGTGATAGGTCAGCAATGCAATAAGAATTGAAGCATTAGAATTGAAGCTTAAGATTCTCCTGTCACATGTAGTGTCAGGGTCTCAATTTTCTGCACATTTAGTATTTCACTTCTTAAATTCCAAACTGCACCAGGGATTTATCTTTCTGAACATTGGTCAGAAAGAATGTCATTTCCTTAGAAACAGAAAGAATGTCATTTCCTTAGAAACCAAGGAACAGGGTGAAAGTTTAAAAAACTTGCCAATAAAAAATGTAACAATACTGATAAAAATACCTTAAAGTTTGTAAATCACTTTATACTTTCCAGAAATCTCCTTAAGCACACATTTCAAAAGGCCATTCTTACAGACTGAATGTTTGTGCGCCCCCATCCCCCAATTCATATGTTGAAGCTCTAACTGTCCCCCTCCCCCAAACTGTGTGATGGTATTTGGAGGTGGGAATTTACGGAGGTAATTAGGTTTGGTTGAGGTCATGAGGGTGGGGCCCTGATGATGGAATTAGTGTCTCCATGAGAAGAATAAGGGACACCAGAGAGTTTTCTTTCTCTAAGCCATGTGAGGACCTAGTGAGAAGGCGGCCATCTGTAAGCCAGGAACAGAGGCCTAACAGGAACCAAATGTGCCAGCACCTTGATCTTAGACATCCCAGACTCCAGAACTGTGAGAAATACATCTCTGTCCTTTAAGCTGCCTAGTCGCTGGTATTTTGTTATGACAGCCTGAGCTAAGACACCCAATCATTTTCAAAATCACTTGTGAACAACCAGAATCCCAGAATCACTGATAAGGAAATAAATTTAGAATTGTGGCAAGGGGCCTGTCTCATTTTCAGGCTGGCAGGACACGTGAAGGTTGGGGTGGTGGGCTGCTGAGCTGACAGGTTGTTTGCTTGAGTCAATATCCTTCTACGGCAAGCTTCCAATGTGTGCGGTTCAAAGGTCCTCTTTAGAAATGGAGCTCCCCAATGAAAACACGCAAAGCATCAGAATGTAGTTGGAAGGATCAGGGGTCAGGTGATTGGAGAAAAGGAATAGGACCATAATAACAGGTCAATAAATAAAATTACTTAATGGCAGCTATGGGAGAGAGGTTCAGCTTTAGGGGGATGTAACTATATAGAAGGAAACTGGCTACCAAAGACTGAGGGAGAAGAAGACAGGAATATGGTTTGAAAAATTCTCTACTCCTCTCAATTTGAACTTGGACATTTATTTAGAATAACCTGCCTTTGCAGTGAACTTGGGTTTGCTCAGTCTCTGATCGCCCTTGCCTATTACACTGCACTGCTATCACTGTATGTGAATCTTAACTATGCAAAAACCAAACAGTTGGACGTGATGATCTCAATAAAATTTGTTTACTTGCAAAATTTTAAGTAATGCAAATCTCTTCAAATTAAAAAATAGTCAAGAAACAGATTTTCAGAGCTGCTGGATCAAGTAAACTAAGTTTTGATTCTGTACTGTAATATATTCTGTAATGTACTATTATATACAACTTTGTCAGTATACCATGCATCCACTGTTAATACTGGGCAAACCATGTTGCTTTTTACATGCACTTGAACTTCTCCATCTGATTTTGGTAGATATTTTCCTCTTATTTTAAGATTTACCGCTAATTATAGTCTAAAATGTTTTACATCTTACATCACCCACACGTTCATTCAAAAATGGTACTTGTGCTAATGCTGAAAAATGGGCTCCAAAAATCTATTCCTCTAGGAGTTAGATTTAATAAAATATGAAGAAGGCCAGTGGAAACCAGAATATGTCACCCTCAAATATGCCTCTTCGACATAAAATTATTTTGAACTGAAGGCAGTTAAGAAGCAAGTAAATGTAAAAGAAGCTCCCACTTTTCTGTCTGAAGGCAGGAAATAAATTCTCCTTTCACTGGAGACAGACTCTTATCAGCCCAGAGTGAAACTGGCAAGCAAACCATGTTCAACTAACCCTTATCATCTTCGTTACACGTCTTCACCATTTACTACCCCTATTACAAACTCCTTTGTCTTGTCCATTTTTCACAAATTTATTGTTTGCCTAAAAGGTATAAAAGCTTCCTGCTCTGGTCACTTCTTGAGGTCTTCATTCCCTTGTGAAGCCTCCTGTGGATATGTAAAAATTCAATAAAATTTGTTTGCTGTTTTTCCTATTCATCTGTCTTTGTGAGTTTCATCTTCAGATCCAGCCAGGGACCATCTGAGGGTTAAAGAAGAAAACTTCTTCCTTCCCAAAAAGGCCAAATAGTATAGTGCTGTGCTATTAATATTAGAGACAGGAGTCTGAGAAGTATTAGTGCTCATACCGGGGATGATAAAAAGCAGTGTTACAGCAGATATGCCCTGAAATTCACAAGAATGTCAGATAACTAGGCAGCGCCAGTGTTAAAGACCCGGGAGACGTGGCTACAGGAGCCACATGGCTTAATGTGCCCCAGAGCAAGGCTGGTTAAAAATGCGTGTTTTCTAAGAACGATTTCCCCTATTTAATCCTAAGGGGAAGGCAGTCCTGAAACATACAGGTTGTGATTGAGAGGCTGCAAACAAAGC